GTAGCAACCCAATGATTATTTTTCTTTTCTTACGTATCCCCTAGGTCACTTGGCAGAGAGAATGTTTGTTCTGATTCTTAATTATTATTTCCACGATCCGTGCTCACGGTACAGTACTTTCAAAATTATATACTGTACTTGTTTTTTACCAATAATGTCTGTCTAATTTATAGTTGTTGTAATTAATACACACACATAAATAAGAAATAAAATAAACACAAATCGTAATTAACTTTGGAACTTCAAACTTTAATAACGAATATTTTGATTTCTCCTGTCTTTTTCAAAGTAAATAACAGTTTTGAGTATAAACTTGATCGCAAAAAGGCACACAATACAACACACGTATAAATTCACAAAAATTAGTGAATAATATAAATCTGAGTAGTTATAGCATGGCCTGTACTATTATGCGTAATGGATACTTATACCATGGAGGTATTACCTCCATGCTTATACAGTACTCACTTATATAAAAGCCCAAAAATAAATTATATTACATATTTATAATTGTTGTGTATGCACGTCTCTTATATTTTAATTCTTGTTACAGGTATCTTTCGTAAAAAATATTTGAAGTTGTTTTGCTATGACAAATACTGTACAATAAAACATGTGTACAGAAAAAAGAAAATAAAACTGTAATAAAGATTATGCTATAAATAGATTATAAATTATGTTAGGGAAGTTTTATTTATATTTTATTTAAATTGTATTGCACATTGTCTTTGTCATAATTACAATTTTGTATGTGTAAATTTACATTTATCCTAACATACATTTATTGCATAGTATATTTCATTATAACATTACTTACTTCAGTTCTTAAAATTTTCGTTCCCTAGATTTTTTCACATACATTTTTATTTCATTCCCTTACATCTTCCCTTCTGTACATGGCTTCTTTTTCTAAGACAATATGTTTGATTTTATTGAATACGCCAGTGGCGAATCCAAAGCATTATAATATTGGGGATCAGGGAATTATTTTCATAGAAGTAGGGTCTACACCACCACAGGCCCACCATGGCCGGAAATGGCCATCTCAGACCAAAGTTTGAAAGTAATTTTTATTTTTTCTCCATTTTTAAAGTACCTTAGGGGGCCCGAACCAGGTGTCCCCCAACCACCTTTTGAATCCGGCACTGTACATATTTTTCTTGAAGTACGATTGTTAACATTCTTTACATCATATGCATCTGATTTTACATCGAGTGCAGCTAATTCTGTGATTTTGTATACAGACTGGAGCTTACAGCTGTTTACAGGTATCTGGTGATGTCAACTGAAATAGAAATGAAATTACGAAATTACCCAAAACAAGCATCAAATAGAGAATTTACAACATACAGTGCCAGTACCTACCTTCAAAGTGATTGTGAGTGAATTGAAGCACTGACAATGCTCCATGAGTAGCTACAGTACAACATGAAAAACACATGAAAGTTATCCATGACACTGTAAATAATTATAGTATTGCTGTGTAAGTGGAAGTAGTGGTAAAGGGCTTTGAGAAAGGCGTTGCTTTTTGTATTTTAATATTCTTCACTTAGAATGGTTGACAAGTTAAGTAAAATAAATTATTATGTATGATTAAAAATCCTACATTAGTTAATAAATCAGGAATATTGCACTAAGTATAAATAAGTGTCGACGTAAGTGTACTGTGCTGCAGATAAAACAATTTTGATTTTGTTATGTTACATTATGAAACAGAGGAGTGCTTAAATATTATTTTTTGGTGCTACCTGTTTTTTCACCCAACTACATCATTGGACCAAACATTGCATTATGCAACCAATAGTTACATAATAAAATGTAATTAAGTTTAGCAGTCGACTCTAAATCTTGGTTCAGTTGATTTGTTTTGGTACTACAAATTGTTAGGAGATGCGTCTTATTTGGTATGAGGAACCGGTCAGCTTGTAAACGTCAAGCAAACTGTCTTCAACAATGCTTTAGATTGCCTCTGGCGGTGAGATCTATAATAATGAATATACAGGTATAAGATCAATGAAAACACTTTAAAATATGAAACGCCGTTTACGAAACAATGCGATGATATGGTTTTTGCTTTGACACGAATTTTGCTTCAATAAGAATTTTGCTTCGATACGAACTTTGCTTTGATAATAATTTTGCCTCGATAGTAATTTTGCTTCGATATTAATTATGTTTCGATACGAATTTTGCTTCAATGAATCGTCAACTGATGATTCCCCCCCCCCCCCCCCACCACCTTTCTATAGACCAGAAAAAATAGAATCTTGAAAATAGAGGGTAAATTCACTTATTAGTATTTGCACTTTAGTTAGTTACCAATCCAGGCCATTTGTCACCGATTCATTTTCAGTGGCAGCCAATTATATCCCATTATGTGGAAATGATCCCAATACTTATCATACGCTACACTCTCATTCAACTTTGATATTGGACAAACTGCCAACAAAAATAAAATGGAGTAGGAACGTATTTACATCTAGGTAATTAATCTGATCGTATCAACACAATTGAACTTTTTATTTTAAAAAAAATATTGTAATATTATTATTTGATGCGTAATGTTACTATCGAGAAACCCAGTAGGCTTACAGTACTTTCTTCAGTTCCGGCGAGGAGCTCTAGGTGTACCTGTGTAATCGATTGAAAATTTGAACAGGGTTTTAGATATCTAGGTTTCACTGATGGTCGGTTCACGATAAATGCAGTTCGATATGCAGCTGTATTTAAAGGCTGACAGCCTTCTTTAAATTAAATTTAATAACAAAAGTTATAATTCACAATTATGTTTTTCAGGCAATTGACCTAGACTTAACATCAGCAATAAAGTCTCCACCACGACCGGTAATCTGCGTCCCAAAGAAAATTGACTAGGGAGGCTTGCATACTATGGGATGGAATGCAAGTTGAGTGCCCAAATACTTAACTTTTTAACATAAATAAGTCACATATCTCTCTATGCGCTTTTTAATCAAATGATAAAATATGTTTTTTTCACAGGTTCCCTTAGCAAAATTATTGATTATTGTTTTACAGAGATCAGTTTTATAATTTCTATAGAATCTTTATACATATTTCTATAGAAATTATAAAGCTGATCTCTATAGACTTCTATAGAGATCACAAACAAACGTATTTGTAGTCTTTGTTGACGAAGATCGGGAGTCTACACTCTTAAAACAGCCTGGTCAAAAAAGTGACCAGATTTCCTAATTAAATATTTTTGACTAA